GCTATACAGTGAGAACTTGTCTCAAAAACAAAATCCAAATCTAAGTGTATGAAGTCAAAATTCTCATTTTTTTTTTTTCTGAGACAGGGTTTCTCATTGTAACAGCCCTGGCTGTCCTGGAACTCACTTTGTAGACCAGGCTGGCCTTGAACTCAGAGAGATCCACCTGCTTCTGCCTCGGCGTGCTGGGATTAAAGGCACGTGCCACCAAGAAGCCTGAGGTAAATTGTTTTTTTTTCTTTTGAGACAGGGTCTGTGTAGGATTAAAGTGCTAGAATTGGGGTGGGGAACGGGAGGAGGGAGGGGAAACTGGGTGGTATGTAAAATAACTAAGTGAATAAATTTAGCATAAAAAGTGCTAGGATTAAGGTGTTTGCTACCATGCCCAATAATTATACATTATTTATTTGTAATTTATATGCCTTGGTGTTTTGCCTGCACGTCTGTGTGAAGGTGTCAGAACTCTGGGAACTGGAGTTAGACAGTGATGAGCTGCCATGTGGGTGCTGGGAGTTGAACCTGGGTCCTTTAGAAGAGCAGCCAGTGCTCTTAACCACTGAGCTTTAACCTGCTTTGTCCCCTCAGTTCTAAATGGCACCCCCAGAGACTGTCCACATTTGTTTTGCAGCAGTGGGGATGAAATCCAGGGCCTTTCCCATGCCAGGCAAATGTCAACACTGAGCTCTGCATACCCCAAACTCTTCGTGTACACCTTTTCCTATCCTAGGGCTAGTTGGCTGCAAACGCTGTAGCACGCCTGACTTTAATCTCTTCGTGGCACACCACTGATGAACATTTAGATTCCTTCCAAATAATGCTGTCACAAATATCCTTGTGGCTTTTATGCATGATTACACTTAGGCAATACGTTCCAGGATCAATGGGTATATTTCTAAATTTGATAATCCTGCCAAATTACTCTCCAGAGAGGTTAAACTTCACATTCCCACTCCCCTCATACACTCCCCAGTCATGTTAAATGTCTTGAGCTTTACCAGATAAAGAAGTACAATCTCAATTTGGTTTTACTTTGCAATTATTTTATTATAAATGAGGTCCTTGGTGAAAGAAACAAAGTCTTAATTAAATGTATCCACCATGCTGTGTTTAAATCTGTCAACCTTCAATTTTGTTTTTCGGGTCAGGGCCTGTCTGTGTAGCCCTGGCTGTCTTAGAACTTGTTACATAGACCAGGCTGACCTTGAATTCGTAGTGATCAGCCAACCTTTGGTTCCCAAATGCTGAAGTTAAAGGGATGAGCTACCACACCCAGCCTTAAACTCCTCAAATGTTTCCTTCACCAGCTCCTCCAGAATTGTATTTACCAGTCAACGGCTAACTTCCCAAAGAGATACTTGCCTAAGAGGCCATTACTCCCTACTTACTCCCAGGCTAGCTTTTAATTGCTCTGCAAGCCATAGAATCTAGTTTTGCTGGTTCACTTTTCCTGCTCTCTGACTTCCCTTTGGGGATGACATCCACCCAACAGGGATTCACAATATACTGAGTAAGCCAATGTCCTGAGGAAAAGACCAGGTACTATAAAGCTTTTCCAAGTTTCAAGGTTTTCAGTTTATTTTCATTATTCGTTGTTATAAACATTATGTGAGATTATTAACTCTTTTGGAGGTGAGGAGTGGACTGGAGATGGCCTTGCTTATTCTAAGCAAGTGCTCTGCTACTGAGCTACATGAAAGTGGTGTAAGGTGGTAGTAGTATCGTATGTGAAACTACTTCAATAAGTACTTTCTTTGCATCTTAGCTGAGCTCTGATTTGTGTGCTGAGACAGAGCAATGCTATTATTATACCCCAAGTTGGCCTAGAACTTGCTATGTAGTTTTAGATTGGCCTAATTCAAAAGCCCCCAAGCTAAGCCCCAAGAGTCTGGGACTAAAGCACATAGCATCATACCTAGATTACTTTGAACACTGTTCTGTCATAGTGGCATGTCTGCTAAATGGCAGGAATTCAGAACTCTTAGTGGCAGTGGTGCACACCTTTGATCCCAGCACTCGGGAGGCAGAGGCAGACGGATCTCTGTGAGTTCAAGGCCAGCGTGGTCAAGGGAGCAAGTTCCAGGACAGGTTCCAAAGCTACAGAAAGAAACCCTGTCTCAATAAAACAAACAAACAAAAAATTAGTTGGTAAATTTTTATTTCTAAAGCAATATGGTATTTTATTCATGACACATTTTGTTAAAAAATTTTAAATATAGACATAATGGACTACCGAGATGGTTCCATGGGTAAAGGCACTTGCTGCCAAGACTGAAGACCTAAGTTTGATCCCCAGGACCCATATGAGAGAAAGAGAACCAAATCAGTAAGTTGTCCTCTGACCTCCACATACTTGCTATGGCACATATAAAATATAAATACACAAAATAAATAAATATAACTTAACTATGCTGGGTGGTGGTGGCAGCAGTGGCGCACACCTTTAGTCCCAGCACTCAGGGGCAGAGGCAGGTGGATTTCTGGATCTCTGTGAGTTCAAGGCCAGCCTGGTCTACAAGAGCTAGTTCCAGGACAGGCTCCAAAGGCTCCAAAGCTACAGAGAAACCTTGTCTTGAAAAACCAAAAAACCAAAAACAAACAAATTATATTTATATATATACACATATATACATATATACGTATATATATGTCAGTCAGTGAAGTTCTTGCTATACAAGCATGAAGACTAAGTTCATTCCCCAGAACCTGGTGTGGCGACAAGAGTTTACAATCCCAGGGTTGGGAAGATAAAGAAAAGAGGATCCCTTGGCTGACCAGCCAGCCAGCCGAGCTGAACTGGTGAGCTCCAAGCCAGTAAGAGACGCCTCCGTCTCAAAACAAAGCCCACTAAGGCAGACAGCTCCAGAAGATCTAACCTCCACATGCACATACACACATGACACAGATCATTCTCCCCCACACAATCTTTAGATAACAGAATATTAGCCATGAAAAGAATCCTAATGCAATCCATATGTGTTAGTTAAGAGTTTCTATTGCTGTGATAAAACACCATGTTCAAAAGCAACTTGGGAAAGAAAGGGTTTATTTCATCTTTCAGCTGTCAGGTCCCACTCTTTCACTGAGGGAAGTCAGGACCTGAAGCAGCAAGCCATGGAGGAGTACTGCTTATTGCCTTGCTTTTCATGGTTTGCTCAGTTTGCTTTTTTTCTTATGTGCACTGGTATCCTGCATGTATGAGGAGGCCAGATCCCCTGTAACTGGAGTTAGAGTTATGACCTGCCATGTGTGTGTGCTGAGAATTGAACCCAGGACCTCTGGAAGAACAGTCAGTGCTCGCTCTTAACTGCTGAGCTGTCGGGATCCAGACCCCTCAGTTTGCTTTCTTATATAATCCAGGACCACCTGTCCAGACTGCCTACAGTAGACTGGGCCCTTCCACATCAATCATTAATCAAGAGGTGTCCCACAGGGCTGGAGAGATGGCTCAGTGGTTAAGAGCATTGCCTGCTCTTCCAAAGGTCCTGAGTTCAATTCCTGGCAACCACATGGTGGCTCACAACCATCTGTAATGAGGTCTGGTGCCCTCTTCTGGCCTGCAGACATATAGACAGAATATTGTATACATAACAAATAAATAAATAAATATTTTAAAAAAGAAGTGTCCTACAGACTTGCCTACAAAGCAATCCGACAAAACAAACCAACAAAACCCAACCAGGACAGCATGTAAGGAGCATGAAGGAAGTGCTCTTATGCTGACTCCTGTTCATTTAGCCAACAACTGGAGAATATCTGCATAGTCTAGTATAGAAAACTTCATAGGAGAGCCAAGTATCTTTTCCCTAATTTTAAATTATACCATTTAGTGTGTGTGTGCACATGCACCGTTCCTCCTTCTGTGCCACAGCATGCATGTGGAGGTCAGAGGATGTGCTGGCTAGTTTTATGTCAAATTCACACAAGCTAGAGTCATTTGGGAGGAGGGAACTTGGGTTGAGAAAATACCACCACTAGTTCAGACTGTGGGCAAGGCTGTGGTGCATTTTTCATTGAAGACTGACATGAGGTGGCCTGATTCATCGTGGGTGATGCCACCCCTATGCTGGTGGTCCTGTGTTCTCTAAGAAAGCAGGCTGGGAAAGCCATGAGGAGCAAGCCAGTGACTAGCACTTCTCCATAGTTTCCGCTTCAGTTTCTGTCTTCAGCTTCCTGCGTTGATGTTCAAGGATGGACTGTGGTATGGAAGCGTAACCAAAAGAAACCCTTTCCTCCCCAAATTGCTTATGCTCATGGTGTTTTGCCGCAGCAACGGAAACCCTAAGGCAGAGGACAGGTTATGGTTACCAGTTCTCTTCTACAATGTGGGTCTCAGGGACTGAACTCAGGTTATTCGACCTGGTAGTAGGTACCTTAACCTGCTAGCCATCTGGCAGGCCCCTAAGTACCTCCTTTGACAGACATTTATTTGAAGAGAAAGTTGAGAAACAGGAGGCACGGCTCAGGAAAGTGTTTGCTGCACTTGCGGAGGACCAGTTTGCTTCCTGTTCCCCATGTCAGGTGGCTTACAACCAACCACCTGCACACCAAGCTCCAGAGGATCTGATGGCCTCTTTCGTCCTGCACGGGCACTTACATACATATGCACACGCGCAAACACACAGACACCTTAACCATAAAAATAATCTTAAGGAGAAAGTTGACATTGGATGGCTGCTTGGCTGCCATGTACTCTACTAAGACAATGGAGCTAGTGACACCTGTCCTGGCAGATCAGTTAACTTGAATTATGCTTTTCATCTGCTAATTTGCCTACTAGGTGCCCAAGGTTTTCAGGGGCCTAAGATCTGACTCCTCTGAAGATGGTTTCAGAGTTAATTTATGGGACACATTGACGGTCAAAGTTAGTCTGGAGAAAATGGGAATTCAAGTTAAGGGAGTCTGCGTGAGTCATCACTGAGAACTGATAAGTGAAAGTGACTGCAGAACATACTGGTACCCACGACAGTTCACAGGATATGAGGATTATTTCATAATACCACTTAAGGAGATAAACGAAATATAAAACATTTATTCAGTCTTTCATGTGCTTTTATTTTCTTCCTTCAACCATAATAATATGATATCCAAATTTTGTCTTAACCGGTGGGTCTGTAAACACAGGCTTATCCATCCCACTTACAGGCAAGGCAAATGCTGCTTCTTGAAACGGTCCTACCATGGACCCTCTGGTCATCCAACCCAGGTCACCCTGAAAAATCCAAAGGCATATGGTATCAAGTTGCCTTAAAAAGAGAATAGTTCTATTGCAGCTTCAGAGAGTTCCTAGTATGAATACAATGGCTCACTGGGTTGTATTTATTCATCTGGGCTATGTAGGAGCTGTCTCACCAGGGACAAATGGGAACAAGAAGTCTAAGACTGGATGGGGGACAAGTGCTCACGATACGGCTGTATTCTGAAGTGGTCTGTGAAAGCTAGGTCATGCCTACATCTAGACATAGATGACTCCGTGTCCTTGGTGCTTGGTTTCATTAGGACAAGTGTCACATAGCAGATCCCCTTCCCCATCTCCCCTTCTACACAGATGATTCTTATGTACCTTCTCCGAACTTACAATTGGTGGGATCAAGCTTGGGGCTTCACACACGCCACACAAATGCTCTACTATGTAGCTACATCTTTAGTCCCACAAGCTAGACGTTTCTACTTTTCTCAAAACAAAGATATGGCTACATTAATGATAGAACATAGAAAATAATCCCTGCTTTTGTATTTCCTTTGTGGAGAAAACGTTTCTACAATGTGGTGGCTCAAACTCAGGGTTTTCTGCATGCTACCTTACTGCTCTAGCATGACAACAGGACACTCAAATGACAGACAAGTGCAACATACCCCTTGCCTGGCTTTATCTTCACTGTACTGTGTGGCCACTTCATTGAATCTCATTCCAGACTTTAACTTTTCCATGGCTTCCATGATTTTGCCATGTTTTTCACATAAAATGTGTCTGACCTACAAGGGAAAAGCATGTCTAGTTAGTGTTTGGAAAGGAAACGGATTCTTCTTGGTGCAAGAGTCACATCTGAATTATCCCGGGTAACTACAAAACAACACATTAACTCCCATCACTGAACACCCTACAAGTCATTTTATTAATATGGTTGAATCTGTAGTCAGAGGCAATGAAATCTATTTTTTTTAAACCTCCTGCATCCTGACCCAAACATGAAACTCCTTGTTACACAGCTATAGTAGTACAGTTCTGTCTGCAGGCAATCCTCTGGGATTGGCTGGTTAAGGGCTTCAAGTAATTATTTGCTGACTTATCTCCACCCACATTTGCATGGTCAAGGTAACAAATTTGTGTGCAAGTGTGTGTGTGGAGGCCAGATGATAATCTGGGTGCCATCCAATCCCTTTTTGTCTTTTGAGATAGGGCCTTTCACTGAATTGGAACTCTCCAATTATGCTAGGCTGGTTACCTAGCAATGCTGGAATTTTAAATGTATGCCATTATGCCCAGCTTTTTATATGGGTTCTGGGGATCAAACACAGGTCCTTTTCGAAGTACTTTACCGACTGAGGTAGCACCCCAGTCCCTAAGTTAACACACTTTATTTAAAGAACAGAACTCAAAGTGTGAAAATTCTACCTTTTAAAAGTGAGACTGAGCTGGGCAGTAGCGCACACTGTGTGAGTTTGAGAACAAGACTGGTCTACAGAGTTAGTTCCAGGACAGCCAGGGCTGACGCACAGAGACACCTTGTCTTGAAAATCAAATAAACAAACAAACAAAAAACCCAAAACAACAGAAAGTGAGATTGGTCTTTGGCTTCCAGTTTTATATCTTCTTTCCTTTACCCTTAGTGTTAAGCCTCTTACATAAGAACAAGTTACTCACGGCCTTTTCTATGCATCCCCACAGCTAGCCACCTTCATACTTAGCATGGAAAGAGGGGGATGGGAGCTAACTCACCTTTACTGCACTGCCACCACCTTTAGGGCCCTGAGCCTTCTTGTCAGCACTGTCACTCCCAGAAGCGGCACCTCCTTTAGAAAAAAAGAGGACAGGTACTCATTTCAAATTACTTTGACATTTTTAGATGCGTCCAACTCATAATACAAGGTGATCTTTCCATTACATCCCCAAGCTCCAAAAGGCTCCATGGTGAGTCACACAATCAAGCTACCTTCCCCGGTGACTCATCTCTAATAACAGGAAATGCACCCTACAAAACACTTCACAGAAAACAGACAAAGAGATGAATGTGGGCATGATGAATGAGCTCCAGAAGCCGCTTCCAAATCCTCCTGACCCCATCCCAAATCTTGCCCTCCAACGGCACAACACTGAGCACTGCCATTATAGAATGTTACATAATCTCTACTATCTTTTGTGCCAGTGTTTGACACTTGCAATTCGAACACCCAAACTCTCCGAGAATAAAGATACTACAAAGTAAAGAATGTATTTATGCCCAAATGTTTGCAGTCTACCACAATGCCTCTCTGCTGGCCTCCTGGCAAGATTTTGCCATTCAAGTTATCAAGCATTAGAAGCACATCTTACTACTGTTAAGTTTTGGGTCAGAAAGGATTGGTATGTATAATGAAAAAAGATTTTCTTTTTCAAAAATAAATAAAAAAAACATGATATATGTATATATATATTTAAAAAGGCAGCACACTGTTAGAGGCCAAGATGTCTAAGAACTACCCCCCTGCATTAAGTATTCAGTTGAACAAAGGCTTCCTAAATAATTCCTGAGTTCCAGGCCTTGAGGGGTACAAGGTGAACAGGGTTCATAGCTGCCACCAAGGAACCCACATTCCAGTGAGAATGACAGATCACTTCCCGAGAACCCAGCGGGTGAAAACTTGTGGAAGGGGAATTTGGAAATGGACAGATATTTTAGTTAGCCAGGGAATGGGAGATGGATGAACAGGAGCTAAGCAGCTGAAGGACAACCAAAGAGGATCTCCAAAATGGGGGAAACGCCTTTCTCCTCCTCCTTCACTCCCCACGCATCTCTCTAGTTTCATAATTATTTTGGTTTTTGTTTTGATACAGGTGCCCTTTGTATTCCAGATGACCTCAAACTCAGCTCCCCCTGCCTCAGCCACCCTGTGCTGTAGCACGGTTGTGGCACCTCACCCATTCATTCTCACCCATTCTCATATTTCTTTCTTTAAAAACAGCTTGGTTTCTGGGGCCTCCGGGCCATCGCTCTACAGCACTCCCTTTATTGTATCCTCTCTGGGTTCCCACAACCAAAGAGTCAGGGTCACCTCTATCTCTTCCAAGAACTACTGAAGTGACCTCTTTACGGGCTTCCTGGCCCTCCACGACCTTTACTAACATCACACACAGCACCCCCAATGATTCAGCCTTCTGCTTTAATTTCCCCACTCGATAATCTGTCTTGAAGCTTTACTTCAGCAGTGCTATGCTACACAAACTGTGCTGTTTCCCATCGGTGCTTTTGGGGCTGGACTCTCTGGGTCGGGTATGAGTTACCCTACTGCGGCTGCTCTATCTTGGCCTGCCTGAAGTAGAGTAGCTCCCCGTTATTTCCCTTCTTCCCACCTTCTACAATATCCCTATCTCTCAGTACTGAATTCAGTACAGTACTTTCTGGCTACTATCTTCCCCACTACTTCCAGGGATAACGAAGAGTAAGAGTTGTGTCTTATTTTTCTAGCTTGAAAGCACAGCGGTGTCCAACACTCTTCTTCAAGAAACGAGTCCCTCCTCAAAGGGGGTCAGGGGAGGGCACGTCATAATTTAGTTGTTAAAGAGACCCGTAAGGACCAGAGCGTGGGCTTCCTTTTACTGCTGACGTTTAATCGGATCAAATTTTAGTGGTATTAAACTCTTAAAACAGCAGTTCTAGGTCCCGAGGAACCATCCCCACCAGCTATTCGCCGCCACGATGGTCCCTGCACTGAAACCCCATGTGTTCCCTGAACCACAGCGCCCCTCGCGTACTTATATTTTCTGATTTACCGGAACAACCCTAAACAAACCATAGCGGCTCTGGGGGGCCCCTAGTCACTTGCTGCCAGGCTTACGACCCCCATAGCTGCCGGACACACTCCCGCCCCTTCTCCTAACCCACCCCACGTTCTCTCATTGTCTCGGCCGCTCTACCTTTCCCCCCTTTTCCAGAACCACTTTTCCCCTTCGGCGGCATCTCTTAGGCTTGCGGTTGAACTCTCAACTCTTCCGGTGCTAAGAAAAAGGCCCCTTCAGGCCCCTAGAGTATGTCCTAAACAATGCCTGTAAGCAGCTTCACAATCAACCATTTCTGCCGCGGTTCCGGAGGCAGGCATAGCTTGGGGCAGACCCAGACCTTTGGTTCCTTGACCGACGGGGGCCTGAAACGTTTAACCAATAAGGAGCTGAAGCCCTGCGGAGAGGCGGAGACGAAGGCTGAGCTAAGCGAGAAAGCCCCGCCTCGGTGCTCGTCATTATTTTTCTACGCCCTCCTTTGCACCCGCTCTAAGATCGCTCTCGTCCCCACCCACGCTTCCTCCGCGCGTGCGCAATGCGAGCCTTAAGCAACTGCAATTCTTTGGCGTGGGCTCTTAGTAACGCCTTAGGGACGCCAGACAAAGGGAAAAGGGAGAAGTGAGGTGATGGCCCCCTTTCTCCAGTCCTCTCACCGACACAGACCTATATTCCCTAGTGGCTCCTCGTTTTTATTATAATTATAATAATAATTATTATTTGCAGCAATAGTAGTTGACAGGGTACAAAAGGCAGAATTTTTTAAGCCTATATCATTCCATTGCCTGTGGCAGAAGTCATTATGAAAGCTGGGCATGGTGGTACACACATGTAATCCTAGCACTAAGGAGACTGAGGCAAAAGATCAAAAGTTTGAGGTCTGCCTGGGCTACAGAGCCAGAATCTGTCAAAAAAACAAAACAAAACGGGGGAGGGAGATCAAACCAGGCTCTGGAGATGGAGCTCAGTAAAGTGCCTGCCACGAAAGAACGAGAACCTGAGTTTGATCCCCAGAACCAAGGTAAAATACTGGACATGGTGGTATGTGCTCATAATCCCCATGCTGGGGAGAGGGTTACAGGAAGGCCACTAGTCCATCTGAAACAGTGACTCCCAGGTCCCAGCGAGAGACAGGATTTCAGAAGAGTGGGGGACTCTCAGAGTTGACTTCTGACCTCCGCATGTGTGCTTCACACTCAAGTGTGTGTATATATGTACATAACACCCACACACCTCCTGGACACGACGCAGCAATGACCTCTAGTGAATGGATCATGCATCGGACCTGGAACATCGTGAAGCTTAGGCGCATTATAATAGATAATCACAGCTACAAAGATAATAATCAAGCCTGTGTGTGTGACTGGAGTGTGAAAAGCTGTACCTGAAGACCAATAGCTCTAGAAAAAAAGAAAGGTCCACTGCAGGCTCACCCAGACATGTATAAAAACATGCACTAGGGCTGGGGACTAGCTGAGGACAGGGAGCTTGCCTAGCATGTAGTAAGCCTTGGACTTAACCCTAAGCACCATGGAAAAGTGGATGTGGTGGCATATACCTATGATCTTGGGAAGTGGAGGCAGAAGGAGCAGAAGTTCAAGACCATCCTCAGCTACATAGTGAGCTTGAGGCTAGCCTGGGCTACATAAGATCCTGTCTTAGAAAATAACTATATAGTGTACATATATAATGTTAACTATAAAGTATACATCACAAGAAATTGGGTGGAAATGGTAAAAACGGCCGTATTTTGAAATGTGAATTTATGACTTTTGTTTTCTTCTGTTAACATGTCCTGTTCTATCTCTTGGTATAGATTTTTTTTTAATTCAAGAAAAAGGCAATAGGTAAGTGCAGTGGCACACGCCTGTATCCTTGGCACTTGGGAAATAAAGGCAGGGACATAAGCGATTCAAGTCCAGCCTTGGTTCTATAGCAAGTTCAAGGCCAAGCTGGGCGACATGAGAGCCCATTTAAAAAACACTGAAAAAGAAAACAACAATGTCATTTGAGAAAGACGCCACAAAAGCCAGCGTCTACCCAGGCTTCAGTGTGCGTCAGTCTGTGGAGAGCGACTGTGGAGGAGAGAGACAAATTAACTGGAGAGAGGGCAGAGAGAGCAGAGAGGAGGAAGATGCAGCCTTGAAACCATGGCAACACCTGCTGGAGAGCAGGAGTGAGTCAGAGCGGTAATGGCTCTGAGCTGTATTTTTCTAGTAATTATCTCCTCTGGCTGAGGCTTGGACGTGTTATTTAAACAAGGGAAATCAGGAAGGGAAGCTGGCAGCCTTCTTTTCACAAAAAAAGGTTCATCAACTTTGGCCCAAACTCACTGCCCACTCCACCTGCACCAAAACCAAGAGGCTGCGGTTTCTCATCTGTTTGGGATGCCAGCAATATTTAACTCTAAAGAGGAAAGCTTGAAGCAACAACACAGAGATCTTAATCCCATTCCAGGTGGGCAATGCATAGGGATCTCTGGGCCCCACACTCTGCAGTCAAGAGTAGAAAAGAGCTGGGGGGTGGGGTTGATATCTCATGACTTTAATCCCAGCACTCTGGAGGCAGAAGCAGATGGACCTCTATGAGTTCGAGACCACTCTAGTCTATATCGTGAGTTCCAGGACAGCCAGAGCTACATAGTGAAACCCTGTCTCAAAAACCAAACCAAACCAAACCTAACCTCTGTTGGTCATAAAGAGCCTAGCATGCACCCTCCCCACCTGGCCTTCTGAACTTCCCAGGTCCCAGGAGCACAGGGCTCAGGGGAAGGGGCATTGTAAGACAGGAGTGTAGGGGTGAGGCACTGAAGCTGATGCAGAGCTGATGTCGAGGACAACTTTGTGTACCCTTGGCCTTGTAGAACTCTTCTCCACGTCTGGGCCATAACTTGGACCTCTAATAGTATCTGTCTGTGCCTCGTGGTCTCTGGGGAGCTGGCTTGTGTAACAAAAACAGAAAACAGAAGGAACTGGGTATCTGGGTTTCATTTAGGGGCTGGCAAAGCTGGAGCAGCATGGCATTCTGGGGAGTACCCGCTGAGGGTGATAAAGCCTCCTGAACAGCCCTCGTTGCCCCCTCCAACTCTCTAAGTCTCCCTCCCTACCTCCCTCCCCCACTGTGTGTGTGTTCATATGGATGGATGTGTCTACGGTGGTGTGCATGGAGGCCAGAGGTCAACCTCACGTATTGTTTCCCGGGAGCTGTCCATCTTGGTTTTTGAGACAGGGTCCTTTACTGGAACCCAAGACTCACTGATTGGACAAGGCTGACTGGCCAGCAAGCCTGAGGACCCACCTGTCTCCACCTCCCCAGAACTAGGATTAAACTTGTGCTACTGCATCAATTTTTTTAACATGGGTGCTGAGGACTAAATTTCAATCCTCATGCTTGTCTGCAGTGCCCTTTATTAACCAAGCTGTCTCTGTAACCCAACCCCCTTTTGAGATAGGATCTGCTATTTTGCCTAGGCTGGCCTTGAACTCTGAGACTCAATAGGTCATCCTGTCTCTGGAATACCTGAGACTATGTACATCACCAAACTAGACCTGCCCTGAACCAATAATTAACAGTAAACATGTTCGATTTGTCTTTTCACAAGCACACCCATCAATCCATCTCTTTTGGTTGTTGTTGGAGTGTTTCTTTTCTCTCTCTCTCTCTCTCTCTCTCTCTCTCTCTCTCTCTCTCTTTCTTTCTTATTATCTATCTATCTATCTATCTATCTATCTATCTATCTATCAATCAGTTTTTCAAAACAAGGTTTCACTGTTTAGCTCTGCCTATTCTGGAACTTACTTTGTAGACCAGGCTGGTCTCGAACTCACAGAGATCCACCTGCCTCTGCCTCCCAAGTGTTGGGATTAAAGCCGTGCACCACCACCCAGCTTCTTTCTTTTTCATATATAACATAACTCTTTATTGATTCTTTTGGAATTTTACATCATCCATCCCAATCCTGCCCGCTTCCCAATCCTTCCATATATGTCCCTCACCCCTGCAGTGTCCCCCACAAAAGAAAATCCCCCAAATTGATTCAAAGCCAAACCAAACCAAACAAAAAACCTCCTCCCTCCTCTGTCTTTTTCATCTCTCCAACACCTCATTCATCCTGGTGGCACTGGGAGCTACACAGTATATCCTTTTGTCCAGTCAGCCCCGCGTTCAAAGGAGCTTTTCTTTTTAAAAAACATTTCTTGGGCTGGAGAGATGGCTCGCGGTTAAGAGCGCTGATTGTTCTTCCATAGGTCCTGAGTTCAATTCCCAGCAGCCACATGGTGGCTTACAACCATCTGTAATAAGATCTGGTGCCAACTTCTGACCTGCAAGGACACATGCAGGCAGAACATGGTATACATAATAAATAAATAAATAAATAAATAAATAAATAAATAAATAAATAAATCTTAAAACAACAACAACAAAACATTTTTTAGGACTGGGCCTAGTGGCACAGACCTTAAATCCCAGCATTCAGAAGAAAGATGCAGATGAATATCTATGAGTTCAAGGCCAGCCTGGTCTACCTAGGGAGTTCCAGATCAGCCAGGGCTACATAGTGAGACCTTGACTCAAAAAAAATCACTACGAATAAAAACATGTATTTATTTATGTAATGACAACTCCACCCCCCCCCAC